GGATAGACGTGGGAACAAGTGGTTAAAGCGTAGTTCCATACTCCTCAAAATCTCCAATCTCCTGATTAAAGTATAAATTTGATCCTCGAATTTTAGTTATTGACCTTAGAGTTTTTGTGCAGGAAAACATACAATTTTGCTTGGGTTTTTTCTGAGGAACATTTATTATCGTTGAAGTTCATAATTATTTATCTAAAATTAAGAATAAACAGATACTTAATTTTATTAATATAAAATTATATAATAGCAATAATTTGTCTTTACTTGAAAAGATATATATCCCTTTGTTCGTTAAGAGAAATGTTTTTTTGTAAACGTGCCTCATAAAGGAATTGTAAGCGCAATATCCTTATCCATGATGCTATAAGAAATGCATAAAAAATAAAGACCGCAAAAAAGATAACATTGTTAACAACAAACTAGATAAATACTGACACATAACACCCACTATCCAAAACCATTTATCCAATCTAAACAGCATCAAGATAATTACAAACACATCCATAAATTATTATGGATATGATCAGAACCAAAAATTCATTTAACAATAATAATTCTAGAAGCAGGTATATATAAAATAAATAGCCAGAACGGCTCCTCACAATACATCGATGAAACTTAAAGAAATAAAAAAAAATATATCAACTGAATTAGTTAAACAGAAAAATACATCCAAGCACAACTTCGATCTAAAGAATGCCACACTTATTAAAAGAGAAAGTAAATTAATTAGAAGGAATATCCTAGAGAATGACGCCGTTGAATTGTTATAGGGGCTATTGAGTGGAAATAATTATGGATCTGAATGCAGTTTTGTGGTTATTTTATAATTTTATTAATACAAAATTATATAATGTTAATGTTTTTTCTTTACTTAAAAATGTATCTCGTTTCGTTCGTTATTAAAAGAAATGTTTTTGTAACCATGCTTCATAAAAGAATGTATTTTTCTGCGCAAAAAAAAAAAAAATAGGGTCAATAACTGTAAAATTCAGAGATCAATTTGATACTGTATCGATATTATTAACAGGAACGACCTCCTAAATCGACGAAAATAACAAACTTTTTCAAAAACCTGTCACCGCCTGGGGGGGTCTAAACATTGCTAATTTACAATAATAATTGTTTAATATTTATTCCTTATTTTAAAAGAATGAATCAGTCTATACCTATTAATGATTCTCACCGGAAATTTTAAAAAATCATAAATTCCTCGGTATGATAATGAACTACATCCGGTATCAAGAACTTTGATCGGGTGATTGGAGATTTTGAGGAACATGGAACCACCTCTTAACTACTGTTGTTCCAAGGTCCATCCTAACTCGGGATGGTAGCAGCTATTAGGGTCCCAGCTATGGGCAAATAGTGATCCCCCAAAAAACCCAAAAATACATTTTTATAATAATATTACCAAAAATGATAACCAATACAATGCTAAAAAATATTTAAAAAAATATAAAAAATAAATAAAAAATATATAATATAATAAAAATAATAAAATATAATAATAAAAAATATAAAAATACATTTTTATATTAAAATTACCAACAATATATTTTATTATCACAGTCTATATGTCTAAAAAAACATAACTTTACTCTTTAACTATAAAATTATGTACAAAGTATCTGTAGTTGTAGACATAAATTTGCATGCAAAATATTCCGATTTCGTATTTAATACCTCATAGAGGTGTTGATATGCCGCTAGACAAAACCAACCAAGCAACTTCCTGATAATTTATTACTTATTAAATATCCACTTCACTTTGATGTTCAACGCTTTTTTCTGTTTGTGAGCGAAAATACGAGCATCTTTCCAACACAAGTGTTTTAGAGAACGTTACAAAATGGATTTCTCGTCCGGTAGACGTTTCACTTTAAAATGAAACTTTTTTTTTTGTCCACTCATAGATCGGCAAGCACACTGAACAGACAAATCTCGTCTTAGGGATTAGAGTCTCTCGTGATTTCAAAACGGAATTTATCAGAAAGGAGTTTGAAATTTCGCATCCTCGACAGGAACTAAAATAAAATTTCTTCTAATCATTCCTTCTTACACGTAAATCCCAGAATGTTTTATGCAGTAAAAATAATTTCTGTAAAACTTGTCGAAGACTGGGTGTTATTTTTAGATTTACAGACGCCAAACATCCGTGGCCTGGATAATCCTGTCTATACTGTAGCTCGGATTTTGCGAACAGGATAACATTGAATAATTTGAAGCAAATATTTTATATACAAATTTTAAACAGTTTTTCTAAGATCAGTAGAAATCTATTTGAAAAGTGTCAGAGGATAACATACGATTTAGATGTGCTGATTTGTTTGTAAAAATACTTTGACAAAAAACCCTACTTCGCGTTTTAATAATTTCTTTAATTTAATTTCATAGGACTTCTTGGAAAACAATATTTTTAAGAAAATTTATTTTTTTCTTTTTTAACAGCTAAGAATAAATTCTTAGGATTTCTTACTCTTGAGAATGCAACATACAACTGGCCACATTTCTTTCTGGAGCCAAATTGCAACATTTTGAAGCATTTGGCGTTGTAATTTGTTTATTGTTCTCTCAAACACACGACGAACTGGAAACTGGATTCTTGTATATAAAAAACATAAAGAAAAGATATGCAATAAACAATATTGAATTTTTATTAAATAAGAATTTGTTATTTTAATCTTTAAATTGTTTTTGAAATAGCGATAGTATTTTGTATATTAAATAATAAAACTTTTAATTTTCCCAAAACATTAATAAACATTTATTGTTTCAATATTTGAAATATTTATAGCTATCAGGAAAACAAATAGGAGGAAGGGAGTTCCAATGTTGAGGAGTGCGGTGGGAGAATCTTTTGGAGTAGAAGAGGTGGAAACAGTTAATGTAAACGTCTCTCTTCTACTCCAACATCTTCTCGCGCACTTCACGACAGTGGAACTCCCTTCCTCCTACTTGCTTGCCTGATAGCTATAATCTTCAAATATTTAAATGTAATGTCAATCGACATCTTCTGATGCCTTGATCCTTTCCGCAAACACCCCTCTTTACTCTTACTGTCATTCTCTGTAACAACTTGCGTTCTAGTGCACTCTCGCCTTGCTTGGGGTGAAATGCTTAAAAAAAAAATACTACGCATCCTCGTAAAATCAATTGTACCCACTTACGTATTTGCTATAAGTTGCTTTCGATCGCTCACTGTATGGCTAGAGAAACTGATGGATGGACTAACGGAAGACATAGAATTATATATATATATATATGGGCATGCACCGACAAACTGTTTGGCTGTATCACAGATCATCAGTGTCGCTAGACATCCAGTTGCCTCTAGCTAGGATTGAAACCCAACTAAATTGGCGATAGTCGGAGATTCTACCACTAAGCCATTAGCCCACGGCAGGGATGAAGGTGAATTTAAACGCATTTATTTTTAGAGAAACTACAGTGACTGAGAGGACTCGATTCGCTTTACCGAAGAGTCTTACATTATTAGCAGTAATAGTCACTGTTTACAAACTCACATTCCCTCCCAGAGAGCTCAACTGAAATAAATTTTTCAGGAGCATATATAATATATACCATTCATTTCTGTTCAAACGATTCTTCCATAATATATTTATTGGTTTAGATATTTGAATGTTTTTATACCACTACCATCTAGACGAAGAAATTCTGGCATAAAAATAACGGTTTATAGAGTAGTTGAAATTTATAATGTCAGCAAATAATTGATTGAATTATTTGGTTTTTACGGCCTTTTCTAGGTCATTTAAAGCTATGAATTATTTTTTTAAATTGTAAGAATTTAGTGGAGATAGTAATGATTTACTAGTATAATATCTACTAATTAATGTAGAGCTAGGTAAAGAAAATATGGATTCACCCATCTAGATACTGACCAGGCTCGATGTTGCCTAACTTCGCTGATCGTGCGAGAACCGTTGTTTCAACGTGATATGGTCCTAACACATATAGAAAAATGGCCTAAAAGAACAATTATATTGTAGGGAGACCACAGTTGTTTTCCCTTGGATTGAGCTCATGGGAGTTCGGTCCCTTTAGAAAGGAGAACTCTTCTGTCCCTTTTAGTATTTGCTTCCGTTTTCTGAGGAACGGTCTCTTTACCTTCCTGACCACCAAGGTATCCACACACGTGGAAACTGGTCAACATATGCACGGCCTAGTGAAAGAAAAAAGTAATTTCTATTCACTTATCTGCGGACGATCAAAGGCCATAAAGTTGGTATGTTATTTCTTTATTCTCGTTCTGTAAACCTCCTCGTTCATTTGGGACAATATGAACAATCAT